CCTGCAAACGGCAATTGAGGATCTGATCCGAAGGGGCCATCTGGGCAAATATGTGAACAAAGATCCGGATGCAATGGGCACGTTAAGACCGGCCAGGAAACCTAACAGCTGGCGCCGGGATGCTCAACGTGACGCCCAGCCTCAGAATGATGTGTATGTTCCTCCCAGAGATGAGCCAGAGGGCTCGGGAGGCCCTGGAAAGAAGCCTCGAACGGAGGTCAAGGTCATATTTGGGGGCGGAGAGACCGGAGATTCGAACGCCGAACGGAAAAGGTTCGAGCGGAGTCTTTATGTAGGGTCCGTCTCCGCTCCCCCCCAGAAGAAAGGAAGGACAGACCCGATCACGTTCGGGCCAGCTGATCTACCCAACTCTCCAAGCCCCCACAGGGATGAACTGGTAGTAAGCATGTGTATTGACAATGCTTTAATCCGTCGAGTGCTGGTCGACACTGGGAGGAGTGTGAATGTATTGTATCTACAATCATTCGAGAAAATGGGTCTGCAAAGGAGCAACCTGACCCACCTGCGGACTCCACTGGCGAGTTTTACCGGTAACTGCATCGAGGCGGAAGGGACCATCCAATTGATGGTTGAAATTGGAGATGAAGCCCACAGAGCGTCACTCCGAATGACGTTCGTAGTGGTAGACATAAAGTGCGCCCATAATGCCATTTTGGGCCGACCGGGATTGGAAGATCTGGAGGCAATAGCCTCTGTCCGCCACTCATGCATCAAATTCCCCACAGACACTGGGGTAGGGGTGGCCAGAACTGACCCAACAACAGCCCGAACATGTTATCGGGAGGCCCTGAAACAGATGAACACTCGTGGGATGCGGGTGAATACAATTGAGGTGGAAACCCACCGAACGGAGTTCGAGGCACACCCGGAGCCCGCCACCCTTCTTGAACAAATCGACCTCGACTTTCCCCTGAACCGTAAGGTCGCTATCGGGGTAGATCTGGAGGCAGATATCCGGGATGGCGTGATTGCCGTCCTCAAAAATATTTGCCCGGGGGCCAGAAGATATGCCCGACATTGATCCAGAAATAATATGCCACAAACTTGCCGTTCGGTCTGATGCAAAACCGGTCCAACAGAAGAAACGATACCAAGCGACCGAACGGCGGGAATTCACCAAGAAGGAAGTGGCCACTTTGCTAAGGATAAAGCATATCCGTCCGGTAATCCACGTAGAATAGCTATCCAATGTGGTTCTAGCCCCAAAACAATCTACCTGGAGAATGTGCGTGGATTACTCCGATCTCAATAAAGCATGCCCCATGGATCCCTACCCAGTGCCGAGGATCGATCTGCTAGTGGATGAGACTGCTGGGTGCGAGTTACTGAGCTTCATGGATGCTTTCCGGGGTTATCATCAGATATTCATGCACCCGGCCGATGCAGAGAAAACGGCGTTTGTTACTTCGAATGGCGTGTTCTGCTACATCGTCATGCCATTCGGATTAAAAAACGCGATGGCAACCTTCCAGAGGATGATCGGGATGCTGTTTAAAGATGTACTGGGTGTCACAATGGAAGCCTACGTTGATGACATCCTGATCAAGAGCGAAAAGAAGGAAAACCATGTCCTGGACATAGAAAAGGTGTTCGGGATAATGCAAAGGGCGAATATGAGGCTCAATCCCAAGAAATGCGCGTTTGCTGTAAAAGGAGGCAAATTTTTGGGGTACATGATGAGCGAGAAGGGGATTGAGCCCAATCCAGAAAAAGTAAAGGCCATTGTGGACATGGAACCCCCGAGGAATCTCAAGGAAGTACAGAGATTGACCGGTCGGCTAGCAGCCCTGAGCAGATTCCCCCGAGGAATCTTCAGTCAGGACAGGATCAGGGGTGTTGCGGGGAAAAGCATTCCACTTGCGGGGAATCAGACCGTCCGGGATGGACACAAAGAAAAACCGGTCTTTCCACCCTTTGATCGAAGTTGGGTTTCCTTTGAACAGGATGTGTCCCGTTCGGGCACTAGTGGCCAGATAGCCATGGGTTTGTTGGGGGGCTACTTTGAAGAACTGGTGGAAGAGTTCTAAGGTTGGTCGGGCGCCGACATCTTTACAACGACAAATGAAACCCGCCATTGCTCGATAAGAGTTCGGCATAATCTGGGCTGGTACAATTTCGTAGAAATTGAAGAAAGAAATAAAGAAAGGGTGTAGCGGAAACCTAAGGCCGGCCCTAATTGAGTCAAAGTGGACTATGGTCATTCCGGACCTATGACGCATTGGATGAAGCCCGGCTTGCAAACGGAAATCCACCGGGTAAGGGATAAGGGCCGGGATTTCGGCCCTATTGAGAGAGGTCAATTTTTGCCTCCTCTCCCTAATCAATTTTAGGTCAAGAGTATGGCGAGGAACATCATTGGGACGTCCGGCCGCCATGGAGGCCAATTCGTCCTCAGACTTGGTGTCGTCAGAATCCTCACTGGAGGAAGAAGAAGTGCTAGGGAGGTCCTCCGCCTCAGCCCTGGTATTCGTCGCCGTCTCGGTAGAAACACCGGCAAACGGAACTGGGATGGCATCTATCATGGCGGTGTCACGGTCATCCCCATGAGAGGCCATCTCCGAATCAGAAGAATGCTCTGTGGGGCTCATCTCGATCGAAGCCAGAAATGAAGATGGGGAATCCAAGGTTGGGAAGTTACCTGAGCAAGGGAAGCAGGGGGAAATTTGCAGAGAAAACAACGAAGGCCAAGGAATTGCAGAGTCGAAACCCGGAATTGAGGAATTAAGGGCTAATTTATAGCCTTGAAACCGCCGTGTCGAGAACCAATCAGAGAGCGACACATCACTAGGGGCATTTAAGCTAGACACGCGTCTAATGAAAAGACTAAACGACGGTTATCATGATGAATATGGGGAAATGAAGCGGCAACCGTCAAATCGCAGCATGGGGAACTGATTACTTCTGTACCCCGATCGCCATTCGGGGTATTGTGACATTGGTATACTTCCTGATGCACTCACTTCGTTCGAGACATCGGAAGTGGGGGACTTGTGTTGGGATATTGACCTAGAGGCCCAATACCCAGATCGGGAAGGCCCAAGGCATCCGGCCCAAGTAACAGGCCCATCACTCCATGATGAAAAGGTCTAATAAGGAGACATACCGAACGGGGTTCGGCCCAAATAAAGGTTGGCCCAGTAAGAAGACATACCGAACGGGGTTCAGACTATATATCATACTTGGGCCAATTTGACAGCATCTTCAACACAGACCAACATCCCGTTCGAACAACGGCCAACCAGCAAGTGGTCAGGTGCAGTTAATGCCAGATTATGACATCAGCAAGTGGAAGCATGGATGACCAAGTCGGTGGAACAACGGCCAATCAGCAAGAGGCAGCCCATGCTCTCCATTAGTATAAATAGAAGGTTTCAAGTCATTGTAAGGGTTAGATTTTCGATACTCAAGCTCTAGAATAGCATCATTTGCTCTTATCTCTTGTATTAAAGCATAATTTCCGACTTACTGATCGGGAAATCTTTTGTAATCAGATTGGTTAATTAATACAAGTGGGTTTTCGAGTTCTAGTTAATTCAGATTTTATATTTTCTCACACACTTTGATTCTGGGCCATTCCTGATATATCCAAAGTTCGTGTTGGGCTTTCGGATCTACGGGACTTACCCTCAACATATATATATATATGTATATATATATATATATGTATATATCTATATGTATATATATATATGTATATATATATATGTATATATATATGTATATATATATATATGTATATATGTATATGTATATATATATGTATATGTATATATATATGTATATATATATATGTATATGTATATATATATGTATATATATATGTATATATATATGTATATATATATATGTATATATATATGTATATATATATATATGTATATATATATGTATATATATATATATGTATATATATATATATATGTATGTATGTATATATATAGATATATATATAGTACTACCTTTATCTCATTTTATGTGTCTCACTTTGACTTGACATAAATATTAAGAAAGTGGTTAGAAAAGTAAAATGTAGGTCACACATTTCTTTCAAATGAGACACTTATTTTGGTACAAATCAAAAAGGAAAGTAGAAATGATAAAATGGGAAGAATGGAATAAATATTTTTGGTGAGGACAAATCTGGTCAGGCTTCATGTCCGGACAAGACCGTTTGATGTGCTTTATTATATGTGTGTGTGTGTGTGTAAAGCACAATATTTTTCAACAAGTATATATTTGTGGAGATCTTTACTCCTGTTTTGGCATACAACTGCCCTTCCCCGCCCTCTATTTATCATATTATTTAGGAGTTTTATTAGATTATCATAAATGCATCTCTTTTTTGTAGTCCTATCTTCTATTATACAAAAGGAAGAGAAAAAATGAACAGTGTTCCCGTCCAAAGTTATGGATAAAAAACGGATCGGGTTGGTTTTACATGGGTGCAAAACGGGTCATGTGACTGGCCCAATGTTGTTTTTAATGCTGGCCCAATATTCAATGCTCCAGTTGTGTGGCTCGAGGCTTTGCTGCCTGAATCCATGCTCTGCCGTCTACAGAATGGAAGTGACTACTTTGTACTTTATTTGATGTTAAGGTTGAGTGTTCCAATTGCACATAGCTTTCAAGAAAGTAGCTCTCTCGACTGAATCAATAATTTGAAATGGTTGGCGTAAATGTACACTTTGGTGTCCCTTCAACTTTAATGCTGCGGGTTTCAAGTTAGTTCATGTTATTGTCCATTGGGTTGATGTTATTAAACATTGGCCCGTGTATAATAAAGCAAATCTTTATCAAGATTCTAAAGTACGAAAATATTTATTGCATGTTATTGTCCATCAGATAATTGAGATACAAGTTTAGAGCAGTTCAAAAAAATTAGTATAAATGTGTCCCAATTTTACCGGTGAAGCACCGAGAGCAGCACACTACATATCCATGGCAATGAAGGTGAGACTCTTGGAAGTTTGATCGTGTATCAAAGTAGTCACACTTCACATGAATGGCCATCAAGGACCCCATTAGACCTATCCATGAAATTCTTTTATAACCAGTAAGTTTTTATTTTCAAAATAACATATATGGATGAATAGCTCTTTCCTGTTCAAATAGAATAGTTTCATTTTTATCATCTAACTATATTGTTGTCCTATTTGAAGAAGGAGTTTATGAAAAAGTTAAGGGAGGGGTGCTAACTATGGTGAGAAACACTAATGTATCATTTATTTTTTGAAATCATGTTTCCACACCAACATAAAACCATTTTATAATTGTTTATTTCATGATTTGAAACTATGACAGGCTGAACAACTTGGATTCTTCAAAAACTTTTCTTAAATAACCAGGCAATTTCGTGCAGGTTTAGTATTTTCTAAAACAAAAACAGGTAAAGATAGGGATGCCACAACTAGCAACCAAAACAGAGGGATAATTTGAAACCCAGGTTTTATAAATGAGTTTATAATGTTTATATATCACTTCTTCAAATGTAATATGTATATAGGTATGTATAATATTTCAGGAATGAATAATATATTTATTCAATATTATTAAAAGTTGTCATGTATGCTATTAAATTATAGAAAGCTTTTAGCATAAGATGATTAGCCAAAAAATAAACATATTTGCAGCATATAATTAAGTGTAACTGAAATAATAAAATAATACCTTACTGGGATTCATACCTGCCTTTGAAGCTGCACAAACTCTGAACATGCATATCATGTTGTATTCTAATTAATAATTAGATTTTTGTTATGATTACATGATTGGGAAACTTATTAAGTTTCCAGAACATATACACGTTTTCTATATGATAAAACATTAACTCAAAATAACAAAAAGACATCTTAGCCTTCGCCAACAAAAAGATATATGGTACATCGACCAACTACTTAACCATTTTGATTGACCAATTGTGTCATCTTCACTATGAAAACAGACTTACAAGCATTAACAATTAAATAGGAAATCATTTATGATTTAGAAACAAAAATTATAACACATGCTTTCTTCAACAATCTTATATGAACAACAAAAACTGTTTTAACCTTTGAAATATTATTTATTTTCGTCAATCTTCTATTATACACAAGGAGGAGAAAATGTGAACAGTAACCATGAACAGTGTTCTCGCTCAAAAACATCACCAACACAGGTCGGGTCAGGTCTGCATAGGGTCGGGTCAGGTTTTCAGAGATGGGCCGGTGCAATGGGTTTGTAGTCTGAAATCATGTGGCTAAAATTTTGCAGCATTAAATGCAATGGCCATTTCCAGTAAAGAAATTTGTTGGGCTCAATAAAAAGGACATGTGCAGCATTAAATGCAATGGCCATTTCCAATAAAGCAATTTGTTGGGCACAATAAAAAGGACGTGGGGACAATTATAATATTAAAAGGGACTAATAATATTAAAAAGGACATGCTGAGTTTTACACGGTTACTACTACTCTTTTGTCCAAGGAATAACAGATTGTTGTCTGATGCACACTAATTAGTAGTGCATAATTACATGTTTTTATGTTTGATTTATGTTAATTGTTTGACGTTTTATTTAGTTTGTAAACATTTATGTGATTTCAGTTGTAATTGTATTTTAGTCTTTATTTGTTAGTTGTAAAGTTTAGTTAGGATTTGTGGTTTTGGAAAGGAAGACTTTGAAGTGAAGAAAAAGAAGATTTGGCTGCCCAGGAGCAAATACCCGACCGGGTATAATACTTGACCCGGTCGGGTAAGAAGTGAAAAACGAAAATGCAAAGAAAGTGCATGGCCCGGTCGGGCCCACTACCTCACCCGGTCGGGTCTGACTTGACCCGGACACTTTGACATGCACCCGGTCGGGTGAGTACTTGACCCGGTCGGGTACCCGGCCAAAGGTGTTGAAAAACACCTATAAATAGCACACTTTTTCTTCACAAAAAAATAATCCCTTCTTCCATACTCTTTAGCTCAGTTTAGAATAACATTTCTTTATATTTTTCTAGCTATGTTTAGTCTCCAAATGAGGAGCTAAACTTCCATTCTTGGTGTTGCTCTTGAAGCTTGTTGATTATTAAAGTTGTGAGTTATTTTCTTAACTTCTTTCCTTGAATATTAATTAATAGTTCTTTCCTTAATATCATCTCTATATTAATGTTGGGGAGTGTTGCTAAGATGACAATTAGTTAACATCTCGACATTAGTTAGAATGATGTTTTCTTCCTCTATATTAATATTGAGGAGTGTTGCTAAGATGACAATTAGTTAACATCTTGATATTAATTATAGTAGGATTCATCTTCTTTAATAATATTCTTCCTTGAATATTAATTAATCCCTACTCTTATTTCATATTAATATTTTGAACATTACTTAAAGGATCAACTAGTTTTGTTTCATATATTAGTTATTACTAGAAACGATCAACGAACCGATGGTTAATCATTGATGGTTTCACAAGTAAGTAACTTCGGTTTATTAATGCACGGTCGTGGTTAATTAACTTAAGAGGGATTAATTTTATTGGTTAAACCGAAACCGCTTGTGTTGAGGTTATCAATCTCAATTGATTTCATCAAGGAGTTAGAAAGATTAAATTCTACTATTAAATCGGTATAAGGCGTTGTTCTATATTTGATTAATAGTAAGGGTTATTAATGAACGGTCGTTGTTAATAACTACCCTCGATGAAGTGGATATACTCCCCGATTGAGTATTCGAGAGGGAATAAGTTATAGATATGACGATGATCGACTAAAATATATCAACAAGTGGAAAGTAGCAATGCCAAGTCCTTTTTATCTTTCAATTAAACACTTATAGGTTGTTCATCTTAGTTCTTAATTAAATTAAATCACTCAACCCAAATCCCCCCTTTTTATTTACTAAGTATCATAAAAAGAGAATTATTCCTTTCCCTGTGGATACGAACTCTACTACGCTATACTACGTATAAGTGTTAGTATTGAATTTATTTTGACGCACCGTGACAAAGTGCTCGTCAAATTTGGCGCCGTTGCCGGGGAAAGACAATTATTTTTCTTTCTATTTTATTTCAAAGAAAAATAAAAAAAATTATATATAAAGATTTCTATTTTGGCTGAGCTTTGTTTGAGTATATGGTTAAACACCGATCTATAAACCAAATCACCTACCAAACAAAGCTCGAAACAGAACAAGCCTTCGAGAGGTTCAGGAATCTATTTCCGAATACTTCTTCGGAGGAATCATCAAGTGCTAGTTCTCATTCTAGCGAATCCGGAGAGTCCTTCCACATGGCTCTGGAGACAAGAACGTTGAGGGAGCTCACGGCTCCGAATCTAAATCAACAACCCTTATGTATCACTTTTCCAACTCTTGATACGGGGGTCACATTCGAGCTAAAATCTGGGCTCATTCATCTACTTCCCTCTTTCCATGGCTTACGAGGGGAAGATCCAAATAAACACCTGTCAGAGTTCCATATTGTGTGCACAAGCATGTGCCCTAATGGCGTGTCCGAGGAGCAAATCAAGATGAGAGCCTTCCCATTCTCTCTCAAAGACACCGCCAAAGATTGGTTATTTTATCTTCCCTCGGGGAGCATCAATACATGGGTTCAAATGAAGAAGAGCTTCCTTGACAGGTACTATCCCGCATCTATCTCTTCAAGTCTCAAGAAGCAAATCAGCAACATTGAGCAAGCAGATAATGAGACCTTGTATGAATATTGGGAGCGCTTTAAAAAATTATGTGCTAGTTGCCCATATCATGGATATTCAGAACAAGATCTCATCCTCTACTTCTATGATGGACTTGTTGATCAAGATAGACGCATGGTGAATGCGGCATGCGGAGGGGGTATTGTCAACAAAACCCCTTCTCAAGCAAGAGACCTCATTTCGGAGTTGGCCGAAAACTCGAGACATTACAACGGAAGGTCATCATCGAGACGAGTCATGGCAGCGGAATCCAACAATTCGTTGGAAAGTCAAGTAGCCGGCTTGACTTCTTTGGTTAAAGATTTCCTTTTAAATCCAAAAACCCAAGAAGTCAAGGTCTGCGGCATCTGTTCAACGCAAGGGCATCCCACAGATTCTTGCCCGACACTACAAGAAGAGAACTCCGAGCAAGTCAATGCTTTGGGGTTCCAAGGTCAAAGGAGGTACGATCCTCAAGGAAATACTTACAACCCGGGATGGAGGGATCATCCGAATTTAAGGTACGGAAATTCTCAAACAAATCCTCCCCCTCAACAATACAAACCCCAAGGCCAAACATCGAACTCGAGTATGTCCACCGAAGACATGATTCGAGCACTGGCCGTTAATATGGGAACAATGCAGCAAAGCATGGGGCAATTCCAACAAACAATGATGCAATTCCAACATGAAACCAAGTCGAGCATTCAAAATTTGGAAACTCAAGTTAGCCAAATTTCAAATGCCGTAAGTCGACTTCAAGCAAAAGATTCGGGTAGGCTCCCCTCCCAAACTGAGCAAAACCCAAGACAACATGTCAATGCAATCATGTTGAGGAACGGTAAAGAATTGCAACCACGGGAAGTTGAGGAGGAGAAGCAAGAGGTTGATCTTGAAGAAGGCTTTCAACAAGAAGAGGAGAAGCCAACGAAGACTAAATTCCCTCCACTGTCATCATATGAACCACTCCCTCCATTCCCTGAGGCATTGAAAGACACGAGGAAGCTGAAGAATGATCGGGACATCTACGAAACATTCGTCAATTCTGAGGTAAACATCCCACTCTTCAAACTGATCAAAAGTGTTCCCCGTTATGCAAAGTTCTTAAAGGAACTATGCACAATGAAAAAGAAAAATAAACTGGAAGGGAAACAAAAAGTTGAAGTGAGTGAACGTGTCTCGGCCATTTTTAAAAAGAAACTCCCTGAGAAATGTAGCGATCCAGGCATGTTCACTATTCCTTGCAAAATAGGGGATACCTTATTTTCTAAGGCCTTGTTGGATTTAGGAGCGTCAATAAATGTCATTCCTTTTTCTTTGTACAAATCCTTACAACTCGGCCCACTACATCAAACTGGTGTAGTGATTCAACTAGCGGATCGGTCTAATACCTACCCGAAGGGTGTAGTAGAAGATGTGCTAGTAGAAGTAGAAAATTTGATTTTCCCTGTCGATTTTTATGTTCTGGAAATGGGTGATGATAATCAAACTACACCCATCCTCTTGGGTAGGCCTTTTCTGAAAACCGCAAAAACAAAAATAGACGTGGCTAATGGTTCATTAACTTTAGAGTTTGATGATCAAAAGGTAGAATTCAACATTTTTGATTCTATGAAAAAACAAATTAAAGACCAATCTCTTTGTGCTCTAAATGTTTGTGAACCACAAACCCCGAATATTTTTGTTGGAAAAAAAAATGAGAAAATCAAACTTTTTGAAAAAGAAGAATTATTCAAATTTTCAAAGAGAGAATGGATCCCACCTGGGATTGAAGTGATACCGGAAAAGAAATCCCGGCCTTACTGGAGAAGGCCGAAAAGGAAAAATGAAACAAAGGATGTTCACGATCCCACATAAAAACAAAAAAAAAAATATAAACTAAAAATAACGTCGTGCCGCGACATTAAATCAAGCGCTTCTTGGGAGGCAACCCAAATCTTTATTTTTAATTTCATTTTTTTTTCTCAGTTCGTGTGTTTTAATTTTTTCAAAAAAAAAAAAAAAAAAGAGCCTGGGCTGTAACCCGGCCGGGTATCCCAATCAGCCCGGTCGGGTTTACTAATAAAAAAGGAACACCCGGGCACAAGGCCACCGGGTTGCTAGCAAAAACAAAAAAAAACATATACCCGACCGGGTATATCCAAAACCCGACCGGGTATGCACATATTTTTGGCTCTGAACACACTGGAATGCATACCCATTCGGGTAGTTCTGAAACTCGGGCGGGTACGAATTTATTTTTTTAAAAATCAGAAAAACCTGACCGGGTACCCTAAAGCACCCCACCGGGTACTCATTCCAGTAGGTACTGGATAACAGAACAAGTTTCACCCGACCGGGTACACCACTTCACCCGGCCGGGCTACCGAACTCAAAACTTTCTGCCTGACCAAATAGCGTTCACCCGACCGGGTAAACTATCCCACCCGACCGGGTGAACGGGAAATCAGCACATTACCAGGTCGGGCTCACCCCTTCCCCTCCCACTTCTTCTTCCTCCCAACTCCAAAATTCCCAAAATCCACCATTTTCAAACACCCAAACCTTCGAATCTCCCCATTTCCTTAATTAAATCCACTAAAAACCCCTATTTTCTTCATCTCCTCACTTCCCTCTCCATCTCTATACCCATAAAATCCCCCAAAACCTTCCCAATCAACAAAACCCAAAAAAACCCTACCCAAAATTCGAAATCCCCATTCTTGGACATTCAAGGTCCGAAATCTCCCCAAAAATCCTCAACCAATACCATATTCTTACTCTCCTCACCATCCTCTTCAACCCCATACCCATAAAAGCCATCCAAATCCCACCCTACCCCAAAGTCCGAAAATCACAAAAAAAAATCCAATTTTTTTTTTTTTTTTGAACTTCAATGGCTCCAAGAAAGTCAAAAGCCTCTTCCTCAAGGGGAAATCGAGCTATCCCACCGGTAGCGGGCTATGAGAGCGTGGAGTTTGCTACGGAGGCTCAACGGAACAACTTCATCAACCAATCAAAAAGGGAGGTAAAGCAATCCCGTTTTATGTGCTTAACTACTTTAGTGCTACTATGGATTGATACTGTGATGCGTGACATATTTGCAAGAATTGGAATATCTAGAATGTTTGAAATGCAATATGTGACATATCCTCATTTGGTGTATGAATTTTTTAGCTCATTTGCGTATACAAAAGATGTGAATGATCATGCAAATGACATAATCACCTTTCGTTTACTAAATGAGGATCGTTCATTAACCAAACGAGAATTTGTTCAACATTTTGGTCTCCCATGGTTTGATGAAGCACGTACATATGATTCTCTTGTGGGGTATGAATTGTGGAGAAGAATGACCGGCAAGAATGTGGTTGATCTATCTAAATTAAGTGTGAATCGTGTGCAACATCCGGTCTTCCGACTATTCTTAAAATTTTGCTCAAATTGTTTCCTCGGAAGACCGAATAATCATCACACACGTATCTGGGATGTGTGTGTTCTAGCACAAGCTGTTTTGCCGGGTCCAAATCAAGTTGATGTTGCCACCATCTTATGGACTCATTTCAACAACGTGGCAACATCAACAGGACTAATTGCTATGGGGGGCCTCATCACACATCTAGCCACTTTATATGGTTTTATAGACCCCGGCCCCATCACCTCAAGACACCTTATTTGCACTGAATGGCTTTTACAAAAGACGCTAGACTTGGTCCCCTCACACACAACACCAACTGGGGCACACATCTATAATTGGCGCATTCTCCCACACACTTCCATCTACCTCCAGATACCCTCAGCCGACGTCCCCCTGGATATCATCAATCACCAAATCGGGGATGGTCATCACTATTGTCTTCCCGGGGCAATCCCGGATCATTATGAAGAACCCATCCACGATGAAGATGATGAAGAACCCCCAATCATACCCGAACAACCACAACCTCAAGCATTCCACTACACACATTTCGAGCAACAAATGCTCGATAACATGGTCACGCTCAACCAGAGCATTGTGAGGATGGAAGAGCAGCGGCAAGCAGACTGGCGTAGGTATGAGGAAGACAGACGGAGATCTGAGGAGGATCAGCGTAGAACCTTTGGTCCGATATACTCATATATAGCACACCAGGGCTCCTTTTCCTCTATGACCACTCCACCTCCTGCACCATCATGGTATGACCCCTCTCAGTGGGATTTCTTTGGAGGATCGAGCTCCGGTGGTGGAGGCTACGATGGTGGTTATGGCGGGGATCACATGGATGAGGACGGACACCAAGGTGGAGGTCTAGGCGGACACTAGGGACAGTGTCAAATCCTAAGTGTGGGGGTGAAGAGATCTTCCCGGTATGTTCACATTCACACTCTTTATTCTTGTTATCTCAAAAAAAAAACGAAAGCTTGTTGAGTTGAAAACCCACAAAGGGCAGCTTAAGCAAAAATAAAGCAAAAATAAGAGTGAGTTTGTGAGATTTGAGAAAAAATAAAAAAATAAAAATAAAAATAAAAAAATGTGGGAAGCTGGGTTGAAAACCTGAAAGGGCACCTAGGCAAAATGAGAGAATGAGAGAAAGTTATTTCTTTTGATTTTGCAGGATCCTGAGGGCGATTACTATTGAGAGTTCGGATTAAAATTGAAGACCCATCTTTACTTTTTTTGTTTTGGAGATACTTTATGTATTTGTTATAAACACTTGTGGATATTGGTGCTGCTACTCTTGTCATTTAGGACTTCTTGGATTTGATTTGATTTACTCGAGACGAGTAAAGGTTTAAGTGTGGGGGTGTTTGATGCACACTAATTAGTAGTGCATAATTACATGTTTTTATGTTTCATTTATGTTAATTGTTTGACGTTTTATTTAGTTTGTAAACATTTATGTGATTTCAGTTGTAATTGTATTTTAGTCTTTATTTGTTAGTTGTAAAGTTTAGTTAGGATTTGTGGTTTTGGAAAGGAAGAATTTGAAGTGAAGAAAAAGAAGATTTGGCTGCCCAGGAGCAAATACCCGACCGGGTATAATACTTGACCCGGTCGGGTAAGAAGTGAAAAACGAAAATGCAAAGAAAGTGCATGGCCCGGTCCGGCCCACTACCTCACCCGGTCGGGTCTGACTTGACCCGGACACTTTAACATGCTGAAGATCGCCAGAACGTGGAGGATATTTGATTTTGACATGCACCCGGTCGGGTGAGTACTTGACCCGGTCGGGTACCCGGCCAAAGGTGTTGAAAAACACCTATAAATAGCACACTTTTCTTCACAAAAAAATAATCCCTTCTTCCATACTCTTTAGCTCAGTTTAGAATAGCATTTCTTTATATTTTTCTAGCTATGTTTAGTCTCCAAATGAGGAGCTAAACGTCCATTCTTGGTGTTGCTCTTGAAGCTTGTTGATTATTAAAGTTGTGAGTTATTTTCTTAACTTCTTTCCTTGAATATTAATTAATAGTTCTTTCCTTAATATCATCTCTATATTAATGTTGGGGAGTGTTGCTAAGATGACAATTAGTTAACATCTCGACATTAGTTAGAATGATGTTTTCTTCCTCTATATTAATATTGAGGAGTGTTGCTAAGATGACAATTAGTTAACATCTTGATATTAATTATAGTAGGATTCATCTTCTTTAATAATATTCTTCCTTGAATATTAATTAATCCCTACTCTTATTTCATATTAATATTTTGAACATTACTTAAAGGATCAACTAGTTTTGTTTCATATATTAGTTATTACTAGAAACGATCAACGAACCGATGATTAATCATTGATGGTTTCACAAGTAAGTAACTTCGGTTTATTAATGCACGGTCGTGGTTAATTAACTTAAGAGGGATTAATTTTATTGGTTAAACCGAAACCGCTTGTGTTGAGGTTATCAATCTCAATTGATTTCATCAAGGAGTTAGAAAGATTAAATGCTACTATTAAATCGGTATAAGGCGTTGTTCTATATTTGATTAATAGTAAGGGTTATTAATGAACGGTCGTTGTTAATAACTACCCTCGATGAAGTGGATATACTCCCCGATTGAGTATTCGAGAGGGAATAAGTTATAGATATGACGATGATCGACTAAAATATATCAACAAGTGGAAAGTAGCAATGACAAGTCCTTTTTATCTTTCAATTAAACACTTATAGGTTGTTCATCTTAGTTCTTAATTAAATTAAATCACTCAACCCAAATCCCCCCTTTTTATTTACTAAGTATCATAAAAAGAGAATTATTCCTTTCCCTGTGGATACGAACTCTACTACGCTATACTACGTATAAGTGTTAGTATTGAATTTATTTTGACGCACCGTGACAAAGTGCTCGTCAAATTTGGCGCCGTTGCCGGGGAAAGGCAATTATTTTTCTTTCTATTTTATTTCAAAGAAAAATAAAAAAAAATTATATATAAAGATTTCTATTTTGGCTGAGCTTTGTTTGAGTATATGGTTAAACACCGATCTATAAACCAAATCACCTACCAAACAAAGCTCGAAACAGAACAAGCCTTCGAGAGGTTCAGGAATCTATTTCCGAATACTTCTTCGGAGGAATCATCAAGTGCTAGTTCTCATTCTAGCGAATCCGGAGAGTCCTTCCACATGGCTCTGGAGACAAGAACGTTGAGGGAGCTCACGGCTCCGAATCTAAATCAACAACCCTTATGTATCACTTTTCCAACTCTTGATACGGGGGTCACATTCGAGCTAAAATCTGGGCTCATTCATCTACTTCCCTCTTTCCATGGCTTACGAGGGGAAGATCCAAATAAACACCTGTCAGAGTTCCATATTGTGTGCACAAGCATGTGCCCTAATGGCGTGTCCGAGGAGCAAATCAAGCTGAGAGCCTTCCCATTCTCTCTCAAAGACACCGCCAAAGATTGGTTATTTTGTCTTCCCTCGGGGAGCATCAATACATGGGCTCAAATGAAGAAGAGCTTCCTTGACAGGTACTATCCCGCATCTATCTCTTCAAGTCTCAAGAAGCAAATCAGCAACATTGAGCAAGCAGATAATGAGACCTTGTATGAATATTGGGAGCGCTTTAAAAAATTATGTGCTAGTTGCCCATATCATGGATATTCAGAACAAGATCTCATCCTCTACTTCTATTTCAGGAAGGAGTTTATGAAAAAGTTAAGGGTGGGGTGCTAACTATGGTGAGAAACACTAATGCATCATTTATTTTTTGAAATCATGTTTCCACACCAACATAAAACCATTTTATAATTGTTTATTTCATGATTTGAAACTATGACAGGCTGAACAACTTGGATTCTTCAAAAACTTTTCTTAAATAACCAAGCAATTTCGTGCAGGTTTAGTATTTTCTAAAACAAAAACAGGTAAAGATAGGGATGCCACAACTAGCAACCAAAACAGAGGGATAATTTGAAACCCAGGTTTTATAAATGAGTTTATAAAGTTTATATATCACTTCTTCAAATGTAATATGTATATAGGTATGTATAATATTTCAGGAATGAATAATAAATTTATTCAATATTATTTAAAGTTATCATGTATGCTATTAAATTATAGAAAGCTTTTAGCATAAGATGATTAGCCAAAAAATAAACATATTTGCAACATATAATTAAGTGTAACTGAAATAATAAAATAATACCTTACTCGGATTCAGACCAGTAAGTTATGTCAAATTCGTATGAGCTGTCCATGGGTTGCATATAAAAAGACAGATCTACTTTAGTCAGCTTCTTTGGTACAAAAGTATGGAGCCCTGTGTATGTCAAATTCAAAAATCACATCAGTAAAATTTAAAAGCCGATGCATCTTATTAACCAATGGGTAATTTGTTCTACATATGCTGAACAGTTTTAAAATCTTACTCCGTAGTATATATAGATGTCCAATTTCATTAGTTGCGCATCCAGAACCAAGTGAACACAAATATTGTATTGCAAGTATGTGCCACATTTTAGAAGGGGAGACACTAGCAAATTTTTTCTACGATGACAGGTATGTAGTGTGATTAAAACTCTTGAAAATTATATAAATAGAAATTATGTGTTCAAAGTAGTGTTTATTAAGTTTGACAATCTCTAAATTCAACATGAAGGGCATAGTGTTGATAAGATACTATGACTATTAATCAATTTTTGGTGAACGGTGATAATTAATTAATTCAAAATGAGATGATGGGCTATTTTTTATGGTCAAGTATTCTAATTTATGACATTTTATTTCTTTCAAAAAAATGTTAAGATATTTTATTAATGCAGGTATAAATCATGAAGACGACACAGGGATTTCACAAGGATGTGTAAGTATCATAATATATCCTAATAATTTTATGCTTAAAATTAAACAACGAGGTTTATTAGTGATAAGCAATTTTTTTGCAGGTTACATAAACAAACGCAAAAACAATATTGGGCTTCGCAAAGAAGTACTAATAACCATAAACCATTTCAATAACAGTGCATTCAAGTACTTTAACACAATTTGGATTTTGGACTTGGGCACATAATGTCGTTAAACTAATCACTTTCATTTGAGTGTGTATATGTGCGTATGTGCAATGCCATTCAAAAGCTTCACTATATAGACTTAGTTTTATACATATGTAAATAGAATACGTATATATATTGAACTATAGTTCGATATAGTTGAAATAAACTACTCCCTCTGTATTTTAAAGTTCTCTACATTAGGTTTGGGCACAACATTTAAGGGAGAAATAACAGGGGTAATGAATAGTGTAGAAAAATCAGAAGAGAAGGTGAAAAAGTATGAAAGAGAAGATAAAAAAGTAGAAAAAGTAAGGGTAATTGAGTATTTTTAAAGGAAAAAACTTACCAAAAAGGAAAATTGTAGCAAACTTTTAAATACATCCAAAAAAGGAAAGTGTAACAAACTTTAAAATAAAGAGGGAGTATTTTTGTTGAAATTGTATAGATATGAATATGTATTTGTTGAAATACTAATATAATTAAGGGCATTTGTTTAAAACATAACTAAATTTTTAAGAAGCTTTGTCTGAAAACTGTTCATCATTTTTTAATTGGGAAACTAAGGTTTATAAAAACTTGGTATCACCAACAAAAAGTTCTAAAATAAATTTTGATACCATGAACAAGATGAGTTAATGTTCATTTCCAATATATCAGATACTACCTCCGTCCCGTTAGAAGGTTCCCATAGCAAAACGGTACGGTTATTTAGGCATAATTAAATAAAGTACTTCGATCATATTTTGAGAAATAATTTTAATAGGAATATACTATAATGTAGTTAGTATTGATCAATAATAAATGGAAATTTTTTCCGGAAGTTTTTAGAGAGCTCATGAGCGAGAATCCAAACCCTAGGGAGGCGGCGACGCCGTCTCAGGCTCAGCCGCCACCAGTTCTGGGGAACGTTTGGAATGGCAACAATGGCAATAAACGTTCTTTCGTTTCTGTCCTACTCAATAAAGAGGATGCTACCCTGGCAGCATCACATTCACGTTTTAAAGGTATGCCATCAGTTTCTTTTTCGGAGGATGATGTTTCAATTCTAGCAGATAAGCATAAGAGATCGTTGGTTGGATATTTTTATAAGGGGCGACCGCCTATGAACACATTACGGGAAAGTTTTGAAATCATTGGTTTCAAAGGGAATTTTCATCTGGGATTATTGGAAAAAAACATGTTTTGATTAGATTTGATCTTGAAGAAGACTACATCCGATGTTGGAACCGCCAAACATGGGATATACATGGTAATATCATGAGGGTTACGAAATGGTCTCCGGACTTTCGACCTAATGTGGAATCTCCTATTGTTCCGGTTTGGTTGACCTTATAGGGTTTGCCAATACATCTTCATGACAAACGAGCTATGTTTGAAATAGCTAGGTTAATTGGTAACCCCCTCAAACTTGATATTGCTACTACTACGTTGGCAAGACCCTCTTTGGCTAGAGTTTGTGTGGAGTTAGACCTAACTAAAGAAATGCCAAACAAGGTTTGGATTCAATTTGGGAAAACTGGTTTTTCACAATCAATTGTTTATGAAAACAGACCCAAGTACTGTCTCTCTTGCCTACATTTGGGACATGAGGCAAGTTTATGCCCCAAAAGGATGATGGAAGGAGTGCCTAAGGCTAATGCAGTTATTTCTCAACCTAAAGGCCCAGTTTGGGTCTCAAAAAATACAGGAAAAGAAGGCATTCCAGAAAGGATTAATAATGACCATATTACAAAGGGGATCCTTGAAGCTAAAATTACAACAGGGGGTTCTAATATAGATAAGGGCAAATCTATAGTAGTCTACCAACCACAACCACCCACTCAGCATTTCCAATCCACTTCTAGAGGCCATGAAAATATTACAGAATCAGATTCTGACATTGAAGAGGTTTATCATGAGCAACCACCTACAACAAAAAAAATACTTAACAACAGTGATGGTGACAACAATAACACTGCCAACAATGAGCTAAAGGGACTTACCACATCCAGGCCTTGTGGGGTTATTATTGATGATTGCTGCCTTGTTGACCAAGAGAAAGATTCTGAATTTGATATTGAACTTGCATCCAAGGAGTACAGGTCTGACTCAGAAGTTCCTCACAGAAAAGAGAGAAAAGATGAATGGTTAGTGGCCTTACCTAATCTATCTATTAAGGTTAGAAACCTAATTAACTCTAGCAAGAGGAAGGAAGAATCTGAACTGCTGTCAGAATTAACCAAGGCTGAAGACAAAAACAAGGAAGGAAAAGAAGATGAGGGGGAATTTATTATGGTGGGAAGAAGAAGAAGGAAGAAGAATGTTGTAGTCTCCTCAAAGGGAGTGGTTACCAGAAGTGCTGCAAGGAGGCAATCATTTAATATCCCCCCAAATTCTCAATGAATGGTATTATTTGGAATTTGAGAGGTCTGGCTGCCTCCGGGCCAAGACTGTCTCATTTAATTAAAAAATGGAGCATACAATTTCTGGTGGCTATTGAACCTTTGGTGGATGAAAAAAAATCTGAAAGTTTCAAAATGGAGTTTGGTTTCACACATGTCCTTTGTGGTTATAATAATAAAATCTAGATTTTTTGGGATGCCAATTTCATCTGTTTATCAGACTTTAACTGGTTGAATCAGTGTGTCCATTTCAAGTTTGTTTGTAATAACACTACTGGTTGGATAACAGCTGTCTATGCTAAACACACCTATTTGGAGAGAAGATGTCTTTGGGATCAGTTAGATCAATTTGCTAACCAGATTCGGGAACCTTGGTTAGTTGGTGGAGATTTTAATACCATAATGACTCATGGTGAACATAAAGGTGATTCTACCCCTAATCTGACAGGTATGCTAGAATTCAAGGAAAGTGTTTCCCAGTGTAATCTGATTGATATACCTTATTCTGGCAACCAATATACTTGGACAGGTGTTAGAAGTAGAGGAAGACTATGGAGAAGGTTGGACAGGTGTCTTTTCAATGAAAAATTTCTGGATTCTTATGATCAAATTAAGGTGACTAACCTTAATCAATCTCCCTCTGACCACTGCCCTATGCTCATTCAGTGTAATAATCAGTATCAATCTGGACCTAAATCTTTTAGATTCCAGAATATGTGGCTTTCTCATAGCACTTTTCTAGATACTGTTTCTCAGAGTTGGAAGAAAAATGACACTGGAGGAGGCATGTTTGGATTGACTGTTAAGCTTCAAAGATTAAAAAAAGATTTAAGGAAGTGGAATCAGGAGGCTTTTGGAAATATTTTTGATGAAATTAAATTCTGTGAGGAGGAGGTTGCTAATGCTGAAGTAGAGTTTTTAAACTCTCCTACTGATTCTAATAGAGAGAATTGGAGTCTTAAAAAAAGCCTTCTTTTGAGCAAATACAAACTGGAAAGGAAGTTCTGGAAACAGAAAGCCAATATCAAATGGTTAAAAAATGGTGATTGTAATTCAAAATATTTTCATTCTTTTGTGAAGATAAGAAGAAGAAGACAGATGATAAATATGATCCAGGGAACAGATGGCAGGGAATTATCTACATTACCTGATATTAGCTCTGCAGCTGTGGAATACTATTCAAACCTTTATGCAGTGGAACCTGCAATTACAAATAATGACATTTTGAATAATATTCCACAACTTATCAATCAGGAGGACAATGACCATTTGACTGCTATTCCTACAGAAGAGGAGGTTAGAAAGGCTGTTTGGGAATTAAACCAAAATGGGGCTCCAGGCCCTGATGGCTTTAATGGGAATTTCTTCAAAAAATGTTGGCAGATTGTTGGGATGGATGTGGTGAAGGCTGTACAGGAATTTTTCATTGGTGTTCCTCCTCCTAAAGGTCTCTCTAGTTCTATGCTTGTTCTTATTCCAAAGTGTGATTTGCCTACTTCTTTCTCTGACTTTAGGCCTATCTGTCTATCCAATTTCACCAACAAAAATTGTACTAAGGTGCTGGCCTCCAGATTATTAAAACTGTTGCCTAAAATTATTTCTGAGGAACAAGCAGGATTTGTTCAAGGAAGGAACATTGTTGACCAAATCCTAATTGCCCAAGAGATGGTTCATGCTATTGATAAGAAGACTAGAGGATCAAATGTGATTATCAAATTGGACATGACAAAAGCTTTTGATAAACTGTCTTGGGATTATCTTTTTGAGACCTTGGACAGATTTGGATTCTCCGGTAAGTTCATTTCTATTATCAGGAATTACCTACAATCTACTTATCTCTCTATTTTGATTAATGGATGTTCACAAGGGTTTTTTCAACCCAAGAGGGGAGTGAAGCAGGGGGATCCTTTATCCCCTTTTCTTTTTATATTGGCATCTGAAGGATTCTCTAGAAGTCTAAAGGCAAGAATGGAGCAGGGGCTTATAAAACCTTTTTGGATGGGAAATCAAGGGGTCCCTATCAGTCATCTAGGGTTTGCTGATGACCTTTTGGTCTTTATTAATGGTGATGCTAGATCTTTAGCCAACTTTAAACATTTTATTAAAGATTATCAGTCTGCATCTGGACAAACTGTTAACCTGGAGAAGAGTAGCTTTATCACTGGGAAAAATGCTACTTACAGAGCTTCTGTGATGCAAAACATTCGTGGAATGAGAAAATCCAATCTGCCCATGAAGTATTTGGGAGCTAACCTGCATAAAGGAAGGAATAGGTATCAATATTGTACTCATATAATTCACCACTTTGATTCTAAGCTTTCCTCTTGGAAGCAGAAGAACCTTTCTCAAGGGGGGAGACTAGTTCTGATCAAATATGTTTTGAATACTATTCCTAATCATATTATGGCCACAGACAAGCTTCCAAAAAAAGTTATTTCTACTTTGGAGAAGAAAATGGCATCTTTTCATTGGGGTTCTACTGTTGATAATAAAAAAATTCACTGGGCTAGATGGTCCAAAATTTGCTTTCCAGTTGAGGAAGGTGGGCTGGGGGGTAAGATCTCTTAATGATGTTGAAAAAGCCTTTAGTTTAAAGTTATGGTGGAAATGGAAAATTCATGAAACTCTTTGGACTGCTTTTATGAAGGAGATTGTGTGATATTAATGAGATTCTTCTGTTTGGAGGAGACTGTGTGATATTAATGAGATGGCTACTGACCTGGTCTCTTTCAATGAGGATGGTATTATGCAATGGGATCCTGGAAAACATGGCATATTTACTTTAGCCTCTGCATACAATGAAATTAGAGATACAAGGTCAGTTACATTCACTAATCAGCATATATGGAATAAACATCAACAAATGCAGATCAAGGTTTTTATGTGGAAACTCATGAACTCCTACTTGCCTATCCCAGATATCCTACAGAAATTCCAGATTGTAATTCAACCCTCTATGTGTCCTTTCTGTAGGAAATGC